CCACTTTCAATTGTAAAATTTTTTTTTTTTTAATTTTTTTTTTGTTTTTGGGTTGATTAATCTTAGTAATTCTCAGTAGTTCTGACATAATTGACGCCGGGACGGCATTGTCAACTTTGTCGAATGCCTTTTGGGAACAGTTTTGTTTGCTTCCTCATCAGTCACATTGGGGGAAGAATCATGACTTTAGTGCCAGCTGTATTTGAGGAAAACACAGGAAAACAGTTTACAAATAAAAGTGATATGTGTAAACCGCAGTGACACTTACCGTCCAGTTGGCGGGTGTGGCACAACCTTCAGCTTCGGTTAATTGCAATTGAGTCCAAGCAACGAAGGAATCTCACTGGTATATGAAATAGTTTTGTTTGTTTAGAAATAATTTTTTTAATTGGAATTATCGTGCAACTCACTCAACATTTCGACCATGACATGGTTAGTAGAACAACGACACACGACTTTGTGATCGGGGGCTGATGATGTAGAGCGCGCGAATTGGTTTTACGATTTCCGGGTCACGTTTTTGTCCTCGTCCAACATTGCCGGAAGATTACAGCCAATCACGATGAGGGTCTGCAATGATCGGGTTAGGGGAATTCTCCGGGGAATATCCAGACAATAGGACTTAATATCGTTCACCCAGTCAGTGTTGATTTCAAATCATCCACGGAGGGAGCCAACACACTTGGGCATAGTTTGGCGATTCTGGCTGAGAACGGCGATGCGTCCCAACTCGGTAGTGCAGACGGGTGTAAAGTCCGAGGGGTGTGAGAATAGGATGACCCACCTATGAAATAATCAGGGCATGTGGAAATAATTGACATACTTTTTGAATATGAAAAACTGTTATTTATTCTCTCGCTTTAAAATTAATAATTTGTTATATTAATGCCTTCAAATTGGAACGCGCTCTTATTTTTGAACTTCTGCTGCATTTATTTTAATACAACTATTTATGCTTCATCGCTTAAGAAAGAATGTATGTACATATGTATTTGTAGATAACATGTGGTGTCCAAGTGCAATTTACAGTTCAGTGTAATTGAGTTTATTCTCAATTGGGTAACAATGCTTAAAATTATAGACTTACGAGTTTCCTTGCCAATCGTAAAAACTAATTGGACCCTGGGTAGTCTCAGCTTTGAAGTTCGGCACAGTTGCTCCCAAACGCATTTTAGTATGTATGTATATGTATATTTTGTATATTTTTACTATTATAAATGATATTTCACACAAAAGTGATATGACAACAAAACAACACGATTCAGACACGAAGACGCCTTTTCACAGACTGATGACAACTGCGAGCTGCAAAGGTATTTATATACAAGTATACGTCAGCTTTCATCGTGGCTCGGTTAATTGAACGACAATCGCTTATTCTATTATTGTCCTCCAGCTATTCACCCGCCAGATGAACGCTTAGACATTGATAACAGGTTTTAAAGGCGGGCGGCAAGTGGAGGAATGGCTGTAAGCTTTATCAGCTGCTGAGGGTGTTACTGATTCGTAACGATTTCGATAAGTAACCTCTGCTCCATTGCTGAAAGGGCCAGTAGACCGTACGATTACGTTCATCTGGCACAAAATAGTGCAAAATAGTAAAAACTGAGAAAAATTCGAGGCTTCCTTCACACAGTCTCATCATTTCTATGCTTTAACTCTTAAGTATAACAAACAAGAATAAATAATTTCACAATCTTTGCTTCTATTGACGAATTTTTGAATGCAATGCTAATTTTGCATTAAAATTCTACGTGGGTTCAATATTAGTTTATGAATATTTCGATCCACATTTATAAGCGATAGTGTATGAAGTAAACAAGTATATATATTTGTATATAAGTATAAATATATTTGCTTAAGTATTTGCTCAGTTCCTGGGCGTAGTGTGATCTAGTGTGGATTGCAAAGCGAATAGTAAAGAAGTGTAACAACAATAACAAACATGGACAATGATATTAATTTCTCGACTTTTTTGCGTTGCTTACATACACTAGCGAACAAAAGTCTGCGTACGATTCATATAACGGTGTAAAGATATTATAAATAAGTTGTTGAGACTGAAAGTAGGGGAATATATGTGCATATATATATTTAACACGATTCCCCAGTTAAAAAGCTTTTAAATGGGAGATGGATTTCTTAGCAGAATACCAAGAACGTAAGAAACCCATTATATACGAAAATGTTCGAAAGCTTCGTCTTTCGCTCAAACAACTTTTCTAACCCCTTGAGACAACAAAAATAACATATCATAAATATTTTACTATCAACTGAAGCCACTAATTTTTTGACTTGTGAAACAATGATAATGTAGCCATATCTATGTATGTAGAATAACTATTCTACATTTGCGGTTTCGCAAAATAATTGCGTTTTTATTACTACGGTAAACGCCTAGATAAGATAGAGACATTGCATTGATAATATTTTTATTGTATGCCAGTATAATTCAATATTAGTTGATTTATTATCTTCCATATTTTGCAAAGCGGCCACGCCCACTTTCGTTGATTACGACCAAGAATTGGGTTATATATTTCCAGCAATCGCTTGTTCATAACTCGGCTAATAAGTTAGCATTTCAACATAAATGCACAAATATCAAGGTTAATGTGTGTGTGTGTGTGCATTTTCGTTGCTAACGACCTCAATCCGAATTGGCAAACAAGTAAATTTTTCGCGGAAAATCAGCAGTGGCAATCGTTTTCAGTATTTTCAATTATGCTGATAAACATATACATATTTACTTATAATAAATCTATGTATACTAAGTAAGCCTGCTGGCATTTATATCTACGCATGTATGTACTTATATTTGTGCTTATGTACATATACGAGTATGTACGCAATGATTTTGTTGTTGTTGTCAAAAAATGCGCCGCAATCTTACAAAAGCTTTTCCAGACGCTTACAATATCAAGAGCAGCAACTCGACGCTACATATGTACTCATATATCATACATACATACAAGTACATATGTGAGAAACAAACACGCGCTTTTGCATACAAATCACATAGCTCAACTGTAACAGGTCGGCTGTGTTTATGTTTATTTAATGTCCACTGGAAACTGATAACCTTCTGGGTCTCAAGTGAATTTAATCACAAACCATGGTTTGTTGATAAGGCTGTGTTTGAAAAAAGCGGCGCCTAGCTAAATACTGTCTACGATCGGTAAAAAAGTTGCAAAAAACATAATTGATTATCAAATTACAAATATTACCACGAACTAAATAATATTTAAGAGCAAAAAAAAAAACGAAGTATTTATTACATACACACACATGTTTTTATTTTTATGTGGTTACGCCTTTTTAATATTTATATGTTTATACAATATTTATGGCGCGCGTCAGAATCGTGCTATACGAATACGTACTAGATGTCCCAATTAGAATAGATGGGAAGTTGAAATTCGTGCTGAAGAGGGCTTGCGTTTGTTTGCGTCCCATTCTCCGAAAAATGCTTCCAATTGTGACTATCATCATTGTGACTATCAGTCATTAAGTTAAGAATATATGTTTCTGATAAGTTTCGAAATAATTTCAGAGAGTCTGAGCAGTTAAATTTCCAGTCAGTCACTCTTAGTGATGCATGGGTGAGGTGTGGTATATAGAATCATATAATATACCATACGTATGTTCATATGTGATCTTCCCCAGATTGCTTGAAACTTGCAAGTTTCGGTTACGAGCTCTCTATAAGTATAATCATTGTATAATTTTCTTGTAAAAACTCCATATTGAGTAAAATTTAATTATCAAATATTTTTGGATGTATTTTGGTGCTCAGCAAAGAGTATATCTAAAAAAAAATTTGCAATTTATATGAGTTCTATAAAAATAAGCTGAAATGAGTGATCACCCTATAAAAGATTTATGAGCTAATCGCGAAATGTTTAGTTAGCCGCTCTAACATAATATATTCTCTTTAGCGTATTTGCCTAGTGCACTCCTCTGACTATTTTCATATTTATTTGTACGTTTTTGAGAAGGTAAATATTGACAAAAGTACGACACTACTAGTGAAACGCAACCAAAAACTAAACACAAATATGCGCCCGATATATTTGTAGTCGCTCGATTGCTTACTTGAGCAGTAGGAAACGTCAACTTGTTGTTAGTTTTGCACATTTGATGAAATTCTCCGCGCTCATAAAACCTATTCAGCCATGTACACACACACGCCCAGCAAGCTGCCATAATCGCATGCTAATGATAAAGTGTAAAAGCGCTTAAGAGTGTGTGTGTGTGTGTAAGTAATCGACAGATATAAGTGTATAAAAGCCAGAACAGTGCTTGGAGCCGACATCAGAAAGTGCTAAACTGTGCTTGAGTTGAAGTCGTCAAACATTGTGACAGTTCGTTTGCTTCAACAATAAAATAATTTTGTTTGAAAAGTATAAATAAAAACATTTAAAAATGCGTCTGGGAGCCACAGTACCGAATTTCAAAGCGGAATCCACCAAGGGACCCATCAACTTCTACGATTGGCAAGGAAACTCGTAAGTCAAAAGTTATCAATTTAAGAAAATAAATTTGAATTTGTTATAATTAGCTTGCGATTGATTAGAGTTCGGCTACACGATTTGAAACTAATAAAATTACTAGCTAGGAGTAAAATTTATGATAAAAATGTACATGTACATATGTGCATATTGTAGTACAAATATAAATATTTAAATTATTCGCTTTGCTCCTATGGATATTTTGAGAGACATCCAGCAGTCAGCTAGAAATTTCTACTATACAAGATTGATTCATAAAGTGCAGAACGAATCAAAAACCTGCAGCCGTCAAGAGACGGTATAATCTTGTGGGGATCTGCAATTTGTAATCTAAAACGTAATTTTGTTATGATGTTATACAACTTTTATTTGTACAGAGCGACGCAAATATCAGTTTCGCATTCACACAATGTCGTTCCATTCAAAAGTAGGTGTGCCTATAAATAAACGTAAATCACACACACACACATACACATGTGTTTGAGTACTTCAAAAATAATAATGTGTATTTTAATATTCCTCGTGTGTCAGGTTGTTTGAAAACTATTAATTGGCTTGTTTATTGAAAAGGCAGCGCACGCACACACATACACACGCGCATATAAATATTTATGGATGAAATGATAGGGTGGTGCTTTGTAACTTAGGATTTGCTTTCGAGTTTGTTTATTGATTTTAACGACATATAAATTTTACACAGTTGGGTTGTTCTATTCTCACACCCCTCGGACTTTACACCCGTCTGCACTACCGAGTTGGGACGCATCGCCGTTCATCAGCCAGAATTCGCCAAACGTAATGCCAAGTGTTTGGCTCACTCCGTGGATGATTTGAAATCACACGTTGACTGGGTGAACGATATTAAGTCCTATTGTCTGGATATTCCCGGAGAATTCCCCTACCCGATCATTGCAGACCCTCATCGTGATTTGGCTGTACTCTTCGGCATGTTGGACGAGGAGCAGAAACGTGACCCGGAAATCGGTAAAACCATTCGCGCGCTCTACATCATCAGCCCCGATCACAAAGTTCGTGTGTCGTTGTTCTACCCCATGTCCATGGGTCGAAATGTTGAGTGAGTTGCACGCATAATTCAATTAAAAAAATTTATTTCTAAAACAAACAAAACTATTTCATATACCAGTGAGATTCTTCGTTGCTTGGACTCATTGCAATTAACCGACAAGCTGAAGGTTGTGGCCACACCCGCCAACTGGACGGTAAGTGTCACTGCGTTTACAAATATTCACTTTTATTTGTTAATAACTTCTTCTGTTTCTGTTGTTTTCCTCAAATACAGCCTGGCACTAAAGTCATGATTCTTCCCAATGTGACTGATGAGGAAGCAAACAAACTGTTCCCAAAAGGATTCGACAAAGTGACAATGCCGTCCGGCGTCAATTATGTCAGAACTACTGAGAATTACTAAGATTTAGTCAACCAAAAACAAAAAAATTAAAAAAAAAATATTTTACAATTTGACTCCATAGGAGTTGAGTTGGTGCCCTTTTATTTTATTCTGTGCTGATCATTTTAAAAATGATTTTGTGCTTGATCTTTAAATTATTGTTACTGTTAAGTAGAAAACAAATAATAAATTTTGAGTACAATTCAATTTATGACTTTTAAGTCTGGATTTCTATATGCACATACATATGCACGCGTTCTCAGTGTCATTAGCCATGGGCACTAGGCTCGCTGTCGTTCACGAAGATAGAGTGGGCAGTGCAAGTGAAGTGGCAGTTAGCAGTTATCTTTACGACGCACTGCCACAGTCGAAACTTAACTGTGGAATGGTCGCTAACGTTCTGACAAACCGATACATATACATATATCTATGTACGCGCATTGTAACAAACGTATAGTATATATGGTAGACTGCCGTTGCGACCACAATCGCTATAGAATTTCAAAATAATGTCTGTTTCGCAGCAATTGTCATGCGTGTGTCTGCTCCTTCTGTATTGCTCCCCAAGGGTATGTTGCATGCAACACGCCATTTGTGCTGCGCCTCCTCTTTGATACTTTATCGCATTTTATGTTGTTTATAAGTGGCAACTGGTAAGTGCGTGGCTTGTATGTTTATGTTACATGCCACATATGGAGTGCTGCGTGCGACAGAATACAGAATACAAATGTCACTTTGTCAAACAAACTGCTGCCCGACCGCAATCAAATGACCGCACGAACTGATAGGTGGGCTAATAAGCAAGCAGTCAGTGGTTAAATCATAAGGAGTTGTGGCTGCTCCAACGAGATTCGCACTACGTTCCTCAAAGCTGTTTTATTTACCGGAAAACAATGTTGCACAGACACCTGCCGACATTTCGATGTGCCTGTGGACCCAAAGCCACGGAATCACTAACTAATCGCAGGCGTAATGCTGCTCTTCATATAACGGCACAGTAGGATGACGCTGACGACACGTTGATGTTGAAAAGATGGGCGAAACTCTCGGTGCTTTTAGAAAGACTTATGTAATAGATTTGGAAGTAAGAGCTCGCTCCTTTTATTATTAATATTTACGCCGTTTAAGAAGAAAAGAGAGATACGCTTGCAGAAAGAGGAAAAATCGGACTTTATTATTTTATAATGGCTTATGACCCGACATAGGGAAGCAATTATATTTCAACTGCAATATTGAAACAGTATTCGGGAATTGCCACACTGTGCAGCAGATTAGCGGCGCTGTGTATGGCGGCACATTTGTCGCTTTTTTTATGCGACAGCTTGTTGCAATGCCACCGTTGTTTGCGGATTTGACGCAGAAACGCATGTAGAGATTACCTATCTCTGGAGGAAACCGAGGCAAAAGTGGAACTTCAGACATGCGTCCGCGTGAATGTAAACATGCACAGATACCTACATGAATATCTAAGAACTGCTCAAGTTATTTGTTTGCTTCTGCTACACGCATGCGACGCAGGTGACGAAAAATACCGTTTTAATTAGTTTGCCTTTGCGCAAGGCAGCACGTCACGGTCAACGGCGTAGTTTCCAAGCAGCTCTTCCTGTTGGCCCGCTGCATGCCACAGCACTGCTACCCAGGAACAGCAACTGCCCAGCAATACCACCACGTTTGCATGTTGTTGGTGCCAGCAACTTACTTTATTGCGTATTTATTATTCGGCAAAGCGCCTGCAACCTTGCGCTCTTCCAAATGTGCGAGCTGATGCGTATACAGACATAAATACGAGTACATATGTATGCAAGCACATGTACAATTGCAGAACTTGTTTGGGCATCAGATAACGCATCAGTTGCGCCGCGACTCCGAACAGTGGAAATCAGGAAGCTTTTGTGGATGTTACACACGCCATGCCCCACCAGCGCTGAATAGCAGTGGAAATCAATTGCACGCATAGACAGCGGACCGTTGGTTATGGCGTGACGAATGTGTCGGACATGAGTAATTGCTTTGTGTCGGTCGCCACAGACACACACACACACATCATTCCCACACCGAAGCGGTGGACATTTCCTTTTTATGTTTGGGAATGGCTTCCCAAACGCATTTCATGCTGCCAAAGCATCGGCATTGCAGTCATGCGATTCAATGTTGCAACAAATGTTATGAAATTAAATGCAATGTTGTAACTCGGTAGAATCGGTGTACTTTTACTTTTTTAACAATTTCATATCGCTTTATTGGCTAATCAATTATCCATCTGTTGTGCCTGTCACTCGTTGTACATGAACATAGCATAATCCATGTATCAGATAATGATTACTTTGCGCGAAATATAACAAAAATTAAGCTGACAGTTAGTTGCCACTGCAATGCGCCGAAGTAATTGCTCGAAACCAGCTGTGGCATGCAGCATAAATCTTTGGGCAATAAACTTGCTGAACCCAGCGGGGTGTCTGGGTAACACGCATATCAACTAGTCTAAGATAAGAAAGCTTTTACGACAAAAATACCGGACAATTGCATATTTGTGTATTATTTTTGCATAGGCGCGTATTTATGGTGAAAAGATCATTAAAATTCGCAAGATTTAACTACTGCAACGAGCTGCGATTTATTATTCATAAAATATGAAACAAAGACTGATATTCAGATGGAGAGGTCTAAGTCTCTACAGCCAAACAGTCTCAAAGCTACATCAGTGTCTTTTGCAACAAATTGTAATAGTAATAGTTATAGGTGTGAATAGATTGTCCATTAACCTACTTGGCTATTGAATGTCGAGACAACAAACCGAATGTCTTATAGAATCAGCGCACCTTATATAGGGTCCCAGTATTGTTTGTTTGTGGAAAAGACGCGTCTACTAGTGAAATTATAATAGTGTATATTAGGGTGGAGCGAAACATTTTTTTTTTTGCTTAGCCAGAGGGTAAAATTGTAGATTATAAAAATAGACAATTTTTAGAAAAAAATAAATTTTGAGTTAAAATTTTTATTTCGTAAAAAATGTTTGATAAGTTTTCTAGAAGCTGTGGAGAGTCTTCTTTCTGGCCAATTAAAAGTTATCAACATAAAAAAAATTTTTGTGGTCATTATTGGAGTTTTAAAAAAAAGTCTTACACGACAACATGCTTTCCTTAAGCGTTAAAATAAATTTTGAGTGAAAACCCGTCAAATTTGGTAGTTTTTATATAAATGTGAAGAGTTGAAACCAAAAAAAAATTTTTTTGTCAAAAAAAAATGTAAACTTGAAATTTACTTTAAAAGTGAGTGGGCCTCTAGATGTTAAAAAAAAATTTTTTTTTGCCAAAAATTTTCTATTTTTATAATCTACAAATTTTACCCTCAGGCTAAGCCTAGTGTATATACACATATGTATAATTTCGAAATGTAATTAGTATCGAATTAAAAAGAAAATAGAAGTCTTTGAGCGAAAATCGTTTTGTGGGTTTTCCCAGGTCGCGATGAGAAAAAGCAAAGCAAATTCAGACTAACAATATTTAGTTCTTAAAAAAAATCTGATAAATATAAGCGTAGTGGGCAAGTAGATGGTTATCAAATAAAGGTCAGTAGAAAGCCAGTTTTGAAAGGGTGACCAGTTGATACCATTTAAAACAGTCTGCGGTCATCAAAAATGCATTAAACAAATGAGTTGAAAACGCCAAGCTAAGCAAAACAGTAAACAAAGGCCATCTAATGGTACGCATGCGCGCACGCATCTAATTGCATCAGTCGATTATGAGGCGAAATGAAAATGAAAATGAAATTTCACCAATGTGCAAATATTAAAACATAAAACATAGACGACTTACATATGCCTGAGCATGCTTGCGTGCATATAATATGAAAATATTAAAACGTAATTTAGACAGTTTCTCTGCTATGTTAGTAAATCTGGTAAAACAGGGTAATAATATGAAATATATCAGACTTGTGCACAGGTTGAAGTGTTGTCAAAAGCTTGTGGCTTCTCCATTGCCGTTTTGCGCTCACATAACGAAAAATCAAACGTTTGAATAGTCATGCAAACGCAGCACCCTGTTCGTTGATTGCCATTGAAATCGCAGCACCGGAATTCGCAAAATTGAAAATTCAATAAATTAATTATAACACTCTGCTCACACCAAAAGAGAACTCATAAATGGGCGGTGGTTTTGTAACGCTTTCGCTTTCGAATCCGCAGCACGCCCCTGACCTTACACATCCATTCGTTGGAGCGGTGCTTGCAACATGATTTAACGCTACATTTTCAACATAACCTAATCGTGCTGCCATACCGACATTTTATGCTGCAATAAATACTGAGTAATTTTTCACGCAATTATCGATGCTTCTCATTAAAGCACCTGCGCACACACACCTGTGCAAGTATGTGTGTTGGCTTGCAGACGACGGCTGTTCTAGTGTTTGTGGCTGCTGCACTGCTTGCATGCGGTCTAAGACACTTCTTCCGCTATGCTTTGGAGTTTCTCAACGAAATTTCGCTGTCGTGAACACGCTGTCGTTCTGGCAACTAGTAATGCGGCAGTGTGTGTTAGGCAACAACAGCAACTAACGTAGCAGCAATGTAGTGGCAAGAATGCGCGGCACGCCATACGCTGTTGTGGCAGCAACGGCAGCAAATGATGCAACTTCATTGTTTGTAATCACCTCACAGCCATTTGTGCTGGCCGCCGTTCCGCTACGCCGCTGCTCTTGCCGCACCATAATAATGGTCGGGTATTTGATTTTTCTAACGCATTATGTTTATTATTGCAGCATTTAAAGAATGTGGTTTTTGTTGCGCTTAATGTTGTCATTATCACTGCTGCTGCTGGTAGAAACATCTGATCTACGTGTTGCCGATTATTCGCAATATTTGCGTTGAGCGGTGAAAGTGTTGCAGCTAATTGAAAAGATTGCCGGTCAGTGAGGCACTCAGCCGTTGCTGCTGCTATTATTATTTATTTAAGCGAGTATTTAGCAAACACAAATAGAAAGTAGAAACAATAAGTTAGTTGTTTTAATGAGGAAAACTAAGCAAGTTTAATCGGCAAAAAGTGCGTCGTATTATATGTATTTTCACCATTCACCATTTTATGTATTTAAGGTGCTGGTTAAG